ACCCCCCACCACACACACACACAGTCGTCATCGTCGCCGACACTCGCCACCGCATCAGCTGCAGTGGACTTTATCAACGCCTCGCCGTCGGCTTTCCACGCTGTGGCAACGACAAGGGAGACTCTGCTCGGTGCTGGGTTTGTGGAGCTGGCCGAGGGAGAGGTGTGGACGCTCGAGACCGGCGGCAAGTACTTTGTCACCCGCAATCAGTCGGCTGTCATGGCCTTTGCCGTCGGTGGCGGGTACACGCCCGGAGCGGGTTTTACCATGCTCGGCGCTCACACCGACTCGCCGTGCCTCAAGGTCAAGCCCATCTCGCACAAGGCCTCCGAGGGTCTGCTCACTGTCGGCGTCGAGGTCTATGGCGGGCCTATCCTTCACTCGTGGTTTGATCGCGACCTTGGTCTCGCCGGCCGCGTCGTCGTCCGCAAGGCCGATGGCTCGCTCGGCTCGCACCTTGTCCGCGTCCACCGCCCGCTGCTTCGCGTCCCGACCCTGGCCATCCATCTTGACCGCAAGGTCAACTCGGGCTTCTCATTCAACGCCGAGACGGAGCTCCTGCCGGTCCTCGGCTCGGCCTTCCAGCTTGCCTTTGCCACCGACGACGCGCCCGCCGGCGCCGCCGCCACCTCGGACACCGAGTTTGAGGTCTCGCTCGGCCATTCGACCGTCCTCCTCGATGTCCTTCTCGAGGCGCTGGCTGCTGAAGACGGGTGTGCTGGCCTCGCGCGCGACGCCATTGTCGACTTTGACCTCGTCATGTACGATGTGCAGGACGGGACGCTCGGCGGCGCCCAGAACGAGTTTATCTTTGCCTCGCAGCTCGACAACCTCATGATGTCGTTCTGCGGCCTCCGCGGCCTGCTTGGCTCGCTCGACTCGCTCGCCGACGACACCAACGTCCGCCTTGTCGCCCTCTTTGACAACGAGGAGGTCGGCTCGCAGTCGGAACACGGCGCCAACTCGAACCTGCTCCAGCGCCTTGTCGAGCGTATCATCCACGGCCTTGCAGAGGCTGCCGCCGCCGCTGGCTCGCCCGACGTCCAGCTCTCGTCGCTCTACGACCGCACCATCCGCAAGTCGTTCTTCGTCTCAGCCGATATGGCCCACGCCGCCCACCCCAACTACCGCTCCAAGCACCCGGACACCTCGCGTCCAGCCATGAACAAGGGCCCGGTCATCAAGTACAACGCCCGCGAGCGCTACGCGACCACCGGCGTCTCAGCCGCCATCCTCAAGGAGGTCGCCGCTCGCGCCGACGTCCCGCTCCAGGCCTTTGCCTGCCGCAACGACATCCCCTGTGGCTCCACCATCGGGCCCATGACCTCGGCCCACCTCGGCGTCCGCACCGTCGATATGGGCAACCCGCAGCTCTCCATGCACTCGGCCCGCGAGATGTGCGGCTCGCGCGATCCGGCTCTCGCCATCGCTCTCTTTGAGGCCTACTTTACCCACTTTGCCGCCATCGACGCCACTCTCCACGAGTCGTTCCCGGCCGCAGCTGCGTCTTCATAAACCCGTCCCGCCCGTACATGCACCCGCTACAGATCGGCTGTCGACGGCGGCTTGAGCTCGGGCGGTCTACGGGGTGCAGCGTGCGAGCTCGGCGGCTCGAGCGGGCTCGGCAGCGGCAAGCCGGCGTCGCCACTGCTGGCCAGCGCACCGCTGAGCGACTGTCGCCGTGGTCGCGCCGCAGCCGGCTTGGGCAGTTTGGGCGGCTTGACGCCACGCGCCAGCGTCACCGCGCCACCGCCTCCGCGCCGCGGCTGGGAAAGCTCCGCCGCGAGCACCGCAGACTGGCTCTGCGCGTCGCCCGACGGCATCGTTGACCGCCCGCGGATCACTGGCGGCTGCGCCGTCGCCGGCATCGTTGACGCCCGTTTCGGCCGTTCCGGTGGCGGCGCGGCCGTCGCCATCATTGCTGATGCCGGTGAGAGCGGTGGTGGTCGTTCCGGCGGCGACGCCCCGGACGCTGCCGGGCTGGCCGCCGCATCGATGGTGAGCGACGGCGGCGAGGTCGGCGGCGAGGTCGGTGGCGGAGGGCAACTTGGCGGCGGCGGCAGCACCTCGGGTGAGTCGGGCGGCGGCGGACCGGCCGGCGGCGGGGGCAGCGCTTCGTCGTCGACGCCGGGTCCGCCCTCGGGCGGTGGCGGGAGGACAATGCCATCGGGCAAGAACGGCTCCGAGAGCGGCGCCGAACGAAAGACAGCGGCAATGGGCTGGGTGAGAGGCGACTCGTCGAGTCGATCCAAGTGCTGGACAAGGAGGTCAGCGAGCGCTGCCGCGTGCTGGCCGATGGGGTCCGCGTCGACGTGAACCTTGACCAGCGACGGGTTGGCCAAGAGCGACGATACCGAGTCGATGAACGTTTTGAACGCCTCAATGTTCTCCACAATGAACGGGTTGGCATCGGCCATAAAGGCCTCCTTCTTGCCAAACTGGACGAGGTTGCCCAGGTTCTGGATGGTCTTGGCCACAAGAGTGAGTGTGCGGGCCGAGGTCTTGGACGGCTGCTCCGACGAAAAGTCAAAGACCTTGGGAGTGAGGATGGCTGGCACAAAGAAGCGAAGGAAGAGGAAACCCGAGACTGCAATGTATCGCACGTTGGCGTGCTCGGGCTCGGGCCATTTGGACGCGCATGCCCGTGAAATCGCGTTAAAGATCGAGACCATTCCAGCCGGGCACGAGTCGGCTGAGTGCACGATAGCGTTCCATGCGTCCGAGATGAATCCGTTGAGTGTCTTCCACGCCTTGCGCACGTTTGACTCGGGCGTGAGGCTTGCGTCGACCTCGCACGAGACCTTGCACGCGTAGATATCCGCAATGACCGGGCCGAGCGTGGCGTGCAGGTACTCCATGCCCACCATCTTCATAAAGTGGTCCAGCGCCTTGGTCGTCAGCGAGTTGCCGCGGAAGATGATGCCCGGATCGTTGGTGTTGGAGATCTCGTGGTGAATGAGCTTGTGGAGGAATGGCACAACCTGCCCGCGCGCGTGGTAGACGTGGAGCAGGTGCCCGGCCGTGACCTGCCGCAGCGCCGCAGGCACCATCTCGCAGAACGCCACCATCCGCGCAGGATCCGCGTCGATGGCTTGGAACAGCGCCGCGTAGTGATCCTGCGGTCGCACAATGAGCACCGTGTGCTTGATCTTCAGCCGCAGCCGCCCGACCTCCTCACCGCTCGCAGCCGCCGTGAATGGGTACCACGCCTCGGTCATGGTGTTGGGCCGAATCGAGGCGAGCTCAACCGACGCCCACCCGCGGAACTTGTCACCCTTGGTCGTGTGCTTGTCCTTGAACACCTTGATTGAGAGCGACGACGAGCCTGCAGGGAGCTCCTCAAAGGCAAACTTGTCGCCCCACAGCGGCTTGTTTGTCGTCTCGGTCTTGGACGTCCGCGCCACAACCCGGTCGCCAAACCCAAGCAGGCTGTAGTACTCGCCAGACTTGGTCAAGCCCTTGAGCTCGCCGACGGTCACCTCGAGCGAGGTGGCAAAGCCACCATCGCGGTCCAGCTTCTCGCGCGCCGACGGCCCCATCGTCGCCTCGCGCAGCGCCCGGAGCCACGCTGTGTAGTTGTGCTGAGACGGTGCGCACAGGTGGAGCGTCGTCTCGCCGCCACACACCATCAACGCGTAAGGTCGCGCGTAGAGCGAGGCATGCAGAGCGCCGACCACGTCCTCACCACTCGGAATGAGGAGCGAGCCTACGGGCTCGCTCGCAGCCTCGTGTGCAAACCAGTACAGCCGCGACTGCGAAGCCATGAACACACAAAAGTACTCCTTAAACTTGGACGCGTGCTCGCCAGACTCCTTGAGCATCAGCCGGCCCTTGACCGTCGGGTTGACAAGCGACATGACCGAGACTCGCGACGCCGCGTCCGACTCGTCCGCCATCTCGACCACAAACGACGTCAGCTCTTGCCGCGAGTTGATGTTCTCGATGTCGGTCCGCATCTGATGCGCGAGCGAGTAGCCTGACTGCGCCGCACGTTCCAGCGAGAGCGCAAGCTCGGCGTACTGTGCCCGGAACGACCGGTTGAACACGTTAGACGTCTCCTGGAAAATGTCCAGCAGGCCAAGCAGCATCGTCTGCTGCGTTCGCGACGCCTTCTCCTTCTCGGCAAGCACTAGCTTGGAATCGGAGAGCTTCTCCTCCAGGTTCGACACCTTGCGCTCGAGCTTGGTCACCTCCTTGTCCTTCGCCTTGTGGTTGGCCTGCGCCCGCTTGTACGCCTGAACCGCGTCCGCAAGCTCCGCCTGCGTCGAATCGGCACCGCCGGCAGCCTTCTTCACCGCGTTGTACGCAGACTGCAGCGACTTGATCGACTTGGAGCCCTCGCCCACAAACGTCCGACTCTGCTTCTCAAACTCGGTCGTAGTCCCCGCAAGCGCACTGGCAAGCGCTCCGAGGCCATCCGCGAGCTCGTTGTGGACTGCTGCGTTCTTCTTGAGCTCCTTGAGAGTCGAGACCCACGCCGCAGAGAGCGGCCGATCACGCGACGACGTCTTGTGTGTGGCATACAGCTTGCCAAGCGCCTTGTAGTACTTGACCTCGATGGCCTGCCGCTCTCGCAGCAGCGACTGGAGCTCATTCGAATGGTTGAGCCCTCCAGCCACAAAGGCCGAGAGGCGGTCGAAAACCTCCTGTTGCCCATACCAACCGCCGCCCATCGCCGACCAGCCAGAGCCACCACCACCACCACCACCACCACCACCACCACCACCACCACCAATGCAGCCACCCGCACCACAGCCACCACCAGCAACACAACCGTCACCCGTCCAAGTTATACCGTCCCCCCCCCACCCCCCACCACCACCACACACACACACTCG